TTTGATTTTTCAGACATTTTTCTCTGTTAGCGGAAATCTTTCAATTGTTTTGATCTAAATAAGCGATCACAGAAAAGACTCACCTTGATATGTACTTTGAGCTTTTCATCGTGTATTAATGTTGCGTCAGTTCGACAAGCTGATAAAAAGAGAACGGCCAAGGTGAAAAGAGCAAGCCAAAAACGGGCGCCGCGAAACGAAGTGAAAAGTTCCATTTGATGTGCAACAGAAAAAGCTTTTCCGGGGAATGTAACCGAAACGATAACTGTCGCCTTTTTATAAGACGTGTTTTGCGCATGCGTGCAGTGAACTGGTCTGCAGACGTGAGACTTTTTTGGTCTTTTTTCCCACGCTTGCATCGGTCCATATAAAGGTTACATACGGATTACACACACACACACATGTATGTGTGTGTGATAAAAATATAGTTTTAAGGTAGGCTATATTTATGTCCAACTTTATATCTGTGAGTGTGTGTGCGGATATTAAGTCACTCATGTGAAGTGTGTGAGGTAAGCAAAACAAGACTATATTAAACAAGTGCACTCTTGCTTTGACGTATTTTACAAGTACATAAATAAACTGAAAATGTTAATCATGGTATGTGAAAGACTTACCCAACTCACATACATAAGTAGATCAATAATTTTGTAGCTTTATGATGAAAAAAAAATCACTTTTAGACAAATATTTATTTTTCAGCATGATCTTCTTCCTTGTTAATGCACTTAATTCAGTGGAGAATCATAACCACATACTGAACATTATATATTGAAGAGTCTAGATAAACAAATAAATTAACATCTATATGTTAGACTATGGTCTTATTGATCCATCTTCGTCAAGCTCCAAAGAAAACTTGAACAAATCAACCATTTTACTAAATACATAAAAAGTCGGCCACGGGAATTATTGCTAAAGAAGATTATTTTAGTTTTCATGATTTTAGAATAAAAATAAGATGCCCTGTATGTGGTGTTTATATAGATATTAGAGTTTAGTTATTCTATGAATGAAAAGTCTGTGTGGGGATAAGGTGTGAGTGAGAGAGAGAGAGAGAGAGAGAGAGAGAGTGTTGGATGAAAATCAGATGGAATCGTAAATGTATCAGGCAATTTCGATTTTTTTTTATTTTAGCATGTGTCGGTGATTTTTCTTTCTAAAAGTATTTTCTAATTCGCATTAATATATATATATATATATATATATATATATATAAATGCAAAACACACACACACACACACACACACACACACACATATATATATATATATATATATATATATATATATATATATATATGTATGTATGGGAGGCACGGTGGAGTAATGGATAGCAGCTCGGATTGAGAGCCGAGTTCGAATTCCAGTTAAATCCATTACGTGCTAATACCCGTGGGAAAAGTATTAATCTTCTAATCTTCTCCCTCCAGATATGGGTAAATAGTAGCCTTCTATAGCCTTGGATGGCAACTGATCTAAATGAAGGACAACTCTAAATTCAAAAGGATCACGGGGGTTTGTTTGCGGACCTTGTGGTACGTTGTGACCCAGGTCTGTGTATTCGAGCTTTCAAAATGTGTGGTTTGTTCTGCACAAAGCCTTTACCACTATAATCAAATTATAAGTGTCTGGCTGTCGGTTCCAAGGAACTGAGCCACTTGACCCTCATACGTCGAATACGACAGGAAAGTCTAATATATATATATATATATATATATATATATATATATATATATATATATGAAGGAAGGTTTTAAGATTTGCTATATTTATGAAATAAAGTGCTCAATATCTGTGATAGAGCGTATGTAAATGTAAAAGTGAACATTGAAGTCAACATTCAGTGGCGACAGACTGTTTCATGCTAGACGCAATCAGGCTTAATGATTGCGTCTAGCATGAAACAGTCTGTCGCCTCTGAATGCTTACAATGTTCACTTTATATATATATATATATATATATATATATATCTATGTTATAAACGTTAATAAAAATAAACGTACCCTTAAATTAAGATATAGTTCTACAGATAACCTTAAAAAAATTATTAAAAAACATAATAATAAATTTTAAATCAATACTGAAACCTAAGTAATATTCGTCATTCCAAAGCAGCAAACAATAATGATACCAACTTGTGTAATTGTAGAAATCCTAACAGCTGTCAATTACAAAATAGGTGTCAAACATATTCCCTCGTTTACCTAAGTACAATTTCATATAGAGAAAATCCAACAGTTAAAAGAATTTATATCGGCAGTACCAAAAATTCCTTTAAAACTAGGTGGTGTCAACACATTATCTTTCAACAACAATGCCTACCATAAGAGAACGTTCCTTTCTAAATATTTTTGGCACTTAGAAGTTCACAAAACTTCTACGGTAAAATGGAAAATATTGAAAAAACTACAACTTGTAAATCCTTGCATGATCTATGTTCCCTGTGTTTACAAGAAAAATTACATATTGTGAAGTTTCCTACGAATAAAGCCCTGTTAAACCAAAGAAATGAATTAACGGTCTTATGCAGGCATTGTCTACCTTTTAACTTAAAATATAGTTAAAAGATTTTTTCATAAATAATTACGTATTACAATTACATAGCCATTATTTTATTAATATATAATGGCCCACCCAATATTTATTTGATAAATTCAACTTTAATATTGTCATGTTTTACCGTCTATTCAGTATAATTAGCATCGTATAAAGATGTTCCATATTTTTAACTTTACCTATTGACCCCTTTAAGAAGATTCCTGAGTATATAAAAAATATTTTTTAATTTAAACAAAAAATTATTTCTGATATCTTTATATCTACTTCAACAAATCGGAACGTCATAAATCCATAATTATATTTATCGCTGAAATGTTTCCTACGATCGCTGAATGACATGTCTAAGCGTTAGTTTATCTTGTCATGAAGAAATAACCTACCCACCTCCACCCTTATTTTTCTATTTCAGCTTAGATCTGACTTTTAATTGGTTAATGTAGACATACCCACAAGTATATTTTTAATTCTAACCTCATGCCCAATTTTAACTTCCAAAAAGAGGTAAAGATTTGTTTTCAAATTCCCCTAATAAATCATTTTGTATCATACGTTATCTACCGTCAGCTGAAGAAGTACAATTATAGTACTGAAGCATGAAAGCTTTTGTGTAGCGATGTAAAATGTTTTTATTGTAATCTAATATAATAAAAATAACATTTTGCTCTACTTTGTATTGAGCACTTTTTTGAAAAATTAAATGTCATGAACTGTGAATTTTACTCCATCTGTTCTTTCTCTTATATATATATATATATATATATATATATATATATATAGGAAGAAAGATGGAAAAAAGTATATATATAAATATATATATATATATATATATATATATATATATAGGTACCTCCAACGATTCGCTAAAAATGAGAATATATGATGAAAAATGCTCTAAACTTAATTAAAGAAATTTTATCGTTAAAATCTTTTGATTATTAAATTATATTTTTAATTCTTTAGAAGCTTCGAAATTTTGGTTTAAAATTTTGATTTATTCGTCTCTTGCGAGAACTATAAATTTGTATGGGAAATTTGACTTTTTGTGCTGAAAAAATCATTGATTTTGAAATTCCTGCAAAAATCAGATGATTGTCAGGATTAATTCAAAATAAATGAAATTATTTTACAAATATTTCTTTTTTAGAAAATCTTGCTAAAAATATTTTTTTTACTTTTGTTACCTCGCCACCCCACTCCATTCCATATATTTTGAGAAATTCATTTTTGAAGCATTTATGCTTATATTAGTTAAGGCCAAGAAAATTATCAATTTCTTTTTATCAAATATGATCACCAGTTACAGAAAATCTGCTCTGAATCGTAAAATAAAAATAAAAATAGAACAAAGACATTATTTAATTAGAAAAGCTTTTAATTGTCTTTCAAGATAAAATATATTATGGGCTCTATTGTCTTGAAAATAATTTGTTTTCGATGAATAAGGAATTTTTACAATAACTGTTTTCATTTTTTTAACTTTTTATTATAATTTATAAATTTTAAATTTCTTTTAAATTCTGTGATAATTTGTAGCGGTTTGGTGATGTTATTAAGTAAAAACTATATTTACTAATCATAAATAGAAAAACTTACTAAAAATCAGCGTCCCACAGTATTTTTAAAATAATTTTTAATTTTATGTCTGTGTGCCGATTTTTGCAAGAACGGACATCCATAGACGATATTATCAGAAAATAATAGCGGTAACTCTAATAAATTTTAAATTTATCGGTAATTTTCTAACATTTCCTCAACAATTCAGTAAAATATTAGAATGTTTAAAATATTTTTAAGATTACTGGTTATTTAAATCTCACCAGGCTATCGATTAATGTGCCAACAACTCATAAAAACACCTACCTCTCTGTTAAGAAAATGCTTTTCTGCGACATTTTGAACAGAAAGTAATAGTTGTTTTAAATCAGATTAATTAAACTGTAAATCAGTTAATCTTGAAATATTGTGCTGACAGTTTTGTCAATATGGCCGATTTTATAGATTAAAAAAAAAATCATTCCAATCAATTTAAATTCGATTTGAAATACAGTAAAGCATTTTGCTTATTGGAAATATTAAATTTAATCTATTAGCTATTTCAAAGATGAATTAAAATATAGAAATCGATTCATCAAATGATTTATGCATTTTGAAATTGACCTTCACTTAATGATTTAAATCTGTCATGAGTAACAGAGATATAAATAAATTTAAGGTGTTTCCTTTGTTAATATTTGGGAATGTGAAAAATTTATTTTCACAATCCTATATCCATTGACATATCCATTTACTTATTGTTTCGTGGGAGCCCACCTTGTAAATGTTCACACATCAATACAGAGTGAAATAGAAAGAAAAGGTGACTAAACATATTCATATAGATGTTACATATTAACGGATATATCGATACAGATCTCGATATATAAAGTAACTGTATATATTCAAATAGATAGATAGATAGATAGATAGATAGATGCGAGAAAAACGAAAAGAGAAAAAGACAAAAAATCGCTGTAAATATATATATATAATGTGAGTGTAATCTATCTATCTATCTATATATATATATATATATATATATATATATATATATATATAACAGAGGATGTCTGTGTGTCTGTCTGTGTGATGCCTTTTCACTCGAGTCCCATCCAACCGATTTTGACCAAACTTGGTATGCACATTGTACAATGAAAGAGACAGGTTCTTAGCGTAAAGATTCGAAAATTTTTAAAAAATCAGTAATCGATGAAGCCGATCAAAAATCGATTAATTCAACTTTTTTCCTCCGATTTCGTTCAAACTCGGTATGTAGGATACTTACATTATGACGAGTTCAACGATACCTCATTTTTGTTTCTACACCACTGTATTTAGCAAAAAAACTGCGAAAATCAAAAATCGATTTTAACACAAATCGATTTCAATACAAATTTTAAACTGAAAACTCCCACAATTTTCAAGCAACATAATATAAACTTTACTCAATTGTAGCCAACAATAAGTTGATTGTTTAACAGTCGTGTAACTTGATAAGTGAGTCCACCCATATAGTGAAAACCCGCGTAAATAGTGAAAAGTGGCGATTTTTACTGGTTTCTTTCTTATTTTTCATTGAAATTTCAACCAATTTTCATCAGATTTAACAACTGCTTTGTAAATATATCCTCTTTTACATCCCTGACAAGTTGAATTTCAAAAGAAATTTCAAAATGATTATGGTCTGAAGTGGGTCTTCAGTTTGCCTGTTTACCCCTTCATGTCCTTGGCTAAATTCGATTGAATAAATACATACTACTCCTGTTATATCAGTAATATATCAGTGCATTGTGGGTAGTCTATAACCGCCATAATATACTACCCACAATGCACCACTGACCCGTATATATATATAAATAGCCGAGAAAAATAACAGCACACGTGGCCTGACGATTACATATAGCATGAAACAGACTGTCGCTTCTAAGTGTTGACTTCTATGTTCACTTTTATATATATATATATATATATATATATATATATATATATATATATATATATATATTAATAAAGCTCAAACACTAATATTCCATGGTTATAATTTATTACATTGGAATCATAATCACGATCCAATTCAAAAAGAATTCAGAAAATATAACTCCGGGTATAAAAAGCAAAAGTTAATGAGCGTGTATGTGTGGGAGTGTGAAACAAGTGTGAGAGAGAAATGTATGAAAACTCTAGAGAGAGGGTATAACAGAAGAAAGAAGAACAGGAAGATCTAAAGGTGAAGGTGGGGAATAAAATTTAACAGAGAGAAGTTTTAAAGAGAGGAGTTAAATGACGGTTTAAATGAGTGAGATACAGATAAATAGGAATTATGGAGACGATGTTAAGCACGCTTTAAGTTTCGGTCATCGGAACCCATCTTCAAAAGGAAGGAAACGATTGTCCGTCCAGGGAATCCAAGGCACCCTATCTCAATAGGTAGCACGTGACATGTCCCCTCCCTTTTCTACGTATTCGGATCGCAGCGATTTCTCTTTCGCCCGTGTGTCTCCTCTCTGTTCTCCTCCCATGAAACCGTTAATTCTACTAGGAGGACAATTTTTTGAATCAGATCACGCTCAAGTGTCAGGGCATGCGTCTGTCTGAGTGATGCGTACCAGAAATTGCAGACGTGTTCTAAGATAAACTTACACCCTCCAATCTCGGGCTCCACTCAGTAGTGTCATGTTGGGAGTTATTTGGTCTTTCCTTGTGAAAACGAATCTAGCCGTTCTCTGGCTGTTTGTTGCCTGCTTTACACTGAGTACTGGCTAAGTCCATGACCACTTCCAGTACTTTGTTATGACGCCACGTGTGCATCTGCAGTGATTGTGGGCATGCAGAGAGCACGTGACGCAAAGTGCCTCGCTCACTTTGGCATAATACGCATATATCAGTGCCTGTGTACCCAACACAGCTTAGCACACTGGACTAAGAAACATCAGCAACTGTTCGCCGCTCTTCCTCGAAATTCCTGATTTCTTGTTTATACTTTAGAACCTGTTTGGAGACAAAACTGGCTGCTCGTGCTGCCCAGACCAGCTCGATTGGTTTGGGTCACTCGCTTGGTTCGCAGACTGGATACTGCTTCTTGGGTGGCTTCTACTGCCGACCATTTGGTGCCAGTTTTGATAGCTGGCCGTACCTGAGGACGAACTCATCGGTCGAGTCCCTCATCAACAAGTGAAGGCGTACCTTCCCGACCTTGAAGTCCTTCATCAATGAGGCGATGGGAAGTTACATGTTTCATAAATTGGTATAGAATCCCACCGTGAAGAAGCCATGGGGAATCCAAGTCACTTATGCATGTACTGGTTGATACACTGTAATATCATACATCTGCAGCAGCCACAGAAGCCGTAGCAGCAAACCAAGTTGGTAGCACGAAGCTTTCATTTGCCGGGGAGATGGGTTCTGTCGATGCAGTCAAGTTCATATAGTGCCAATTTCTGCACCTCTTTACCTAGGTGCTGATCAGGCAGTGGAATTTCCTACAGCAGTCGAAGGCTCTTCACTGGCTCCTCTTTGATTGCCGGGATCATGTCACCCCAAATGCAGAAGTGAATCTCCTTGGTAGAACTTCCAGGTAATGATAAGCTCTCGTTTTTCTTGGGTTTAGCCTTCATTCTTGCACTTGTAAAGAGCCTATGGTCGCATTGCAGCAGTTCATTGGTACCAGAATGGTCATCCATGAACACTCGGGAAGAAAGAAGGACCATTTGTTCCCAAGTCATCACTCCATTTACTGTGTCCGCTGCACACCGTAATATGATTTCCATGGACATAACGAAAAGAAGTGGTGACATCGCACACCCCATCATGATGCAGACCTCGAGGGATTGCCACTTGATGGTGTAGTTACCAACAATGAACTGTATAAACGCTGCTCTGAAAGATTCCATTATTATTTCCCTAACCTTGAAGATTGAAAAATTCGAATTAACTCATGAGGAACTGATCCATATGCATTTGCGAGATCAAGCCAAATTACACGAAGCTCAGTTTTATTTTATCTGATAGGATTGACTTCCAAATCATGTGCGAATGCTCCTGACAGCCAAGGAAGTCAAATATTCCAGCCTTCTGGAGAACTGTGTTTATGTAATGCTTATCTAGCAGGAATTCCGTCATAAGACGAGCAAGGACCCCAAAAATATTTTCCCTTTACATTCAAGAGGGAGATGGAGCGAAACTTTGCAATGACTTTTGCATTTTTTCCTTAGGTATTCAAATGCCATCTGCCAGACACCATTCTTGTGATACAATACCTTGTTTCCATGCCTGAAGTTAGTGAGTTGCTTGCGAACATTTAGAGAATTCTTATATAGGATATTCCATTTATTCCAGGTGCACTACCGACATGGGATTTGCGGAAGAATTCCTGAATTTCCCTCAGCTTTAGTCCGCTGTCATTAAACATGACCTTTGGATCTTGAGGCCTAGGAAGGTCATTCATAGGAGCGATTGGAACATCTTTCCAAAAATCAGAATACGTCATCCTCGGGTGGTTCTCGAGTTCCTCCTGCGGTACATCGAGTTTGCCGCGTAAAAGCAAAAAGCGGAAGGATTATTTTAAAATGATCTTTGAGACTGTTACTTTTTCTCCCGACGTTTCCTTTGGTTCTCAGCTTTAGAGATCACTAAGATCCTTTCTTGAATATCCTTAAGCAGCTCTTTAAGGCCTGCTCTCTTATGAATTGGAACTTCTTTGAAATAGCGCTTCAAAACACTCTGCTCTGCACTTAGGTTACCTTTCTGAATCTATCGTCTATTTGCCTACTTCTCTTCTTTCCTGTCCTCTCTTGCAGTTGCCACACCAAGCCATTCAAGACAAACCTCATGCACAACTCTGCAGAAAGATCTGATCTGTTGACGAATTGGGCCCGTTAGATGGTTGGTAAGTATTAATGAGAGACCCTGATCAAGATTCGACCAAGTAGCTCCCTGATTGTCTTTGGGCCACTGGATTCTTGGCTTGCTTGGAATTTCTTCAGGTTACTGACGCTTAACAATTGGATCCTGAACACTGTGGGTGTAACCCGGGTTTCGTAATCCCATCATTCAACTTACTTTCCCCAATAGGGGAATTGCGTTGCCTGCACCAGAGTGACTTATGGATACGTAAAACTCACAGACTGTCGAAGATCCTGACGCAATCACACGTTGTAGCCAGTTTCAGTTACATGTCGTTATCATTGAAATCATTCAGTTGATGTACTTTCCTCTCCTCTCTTAATATAATTTCTGCTTATATTTTATTTTTAATAGATACAATTTGTTAAAGTAAATACTCTGTTTTTTTTAAAATAAACAGTATTAATTACAGATACCGGACTGAATGCTGGAGAAATTTTTGTAATCTATATAATAAATGCCAATGTCAGTGTGTCACACTTTATTCCTAGAGGCATTTTCGAATCAAACCGACTCAGTTAGGATATTAAAACATTCTGGGTCGGATCCAGACCCGTAATCCTGAAATTTTGGATTTCCGAGTTTTTATTACCGCTGATGTCTTCGATTTTTTTACGTACATCAAAATTGTCTTTAAATTAAATGACGGCAGAAGAATTATCATTGAACTTTTAAAAGGTAAGCTTAAATATTAACGCAATACTTAAAAGCAGTGATCGATTTTGAGTTTTTCTGTAGTTTATTGTTGCCTATCACATCTACTCCCCCCTACCTATTTTGATGAAGGCCTAATAAAGGGTCTTTCACAGAAGCTAGCTTAAATGCCGCTCGATAGGGCGGCTTTTAAGCTCGTATATAATATTATTAACAATAGATCGAAAGATAGATCGAAAGATAGAGCGAAAGATAGATAAGAACTGACTGAGATAGAGAGAGAAAAAATCACTGTACATGTATATACACATGTGCGTGCAAAAATTATTGAGTAAGTAAAATGTTCATTAATACTTTCACTATCATGGATCTAAATGAGAAACATCTATATACGTGAGGGTCTTGAAGGCTACCTTTCTGTTTCCAGAATGCATTCATGCGTGATAGAGCTCACGTTTTTTTTTGGGGGGGGATGTATTTCTGATTCCAGACTTCTTTCATAAATCAGAGGAAGCTAATTTTAACAGTTTGGCTTCAATGTCGTGTAGTGTTTTAATATTCTTTAGTTTTTTAATAGCTTTCTTGATTCCCACGTCAATAGGGTCATTATTGTTAATGTTTGGAGGCGGACTTTGTAATGGTTAAATAAATATCGACATGGGTTCTATTTATGAAGCCATCTTTTAGTTTAGTCTGGCCAGGGTTGAAAAGCGATTCAAAGTGTTTTTTTTTAGACCTGAATATGTTTTCATTGACGATGATTGTATGATATTATCATTTTTTTTTTTGCTTTACTCCACACTTTTTTATACATTGGCTATACTTTTTGGCTTCAATTATTTTATTTCACAAAAACAAATAAATATACATTATCATCTGAATTCCGTATAAACAAACAAGACTTATGATACACATAGACACATGAATTATACGCACCAATGCTGCTTGACAGGACAGATACACGCGAGGTCTGCCAAACCAATGCAAAACCAACAACACCAAAATAAAAATAGCAGTATTTTTCTTCTTTTTTTTCTACTCCGTGTTTCATTCTCTGGTGAAGGTTTAATAAAAGCGAAACATGTTGGACTTATAAACGTTTCCCATTTGTTTCTTATCCTATAATAGATAAAGGTAACAAATCCGTTGGTATATAATCCAAGTGGATCCTAGTAATATAAAATATCAAAACTGATCCACAAAAATGTATTTATTATTACAGAGAAAATAATTCCACACCGGGGTTGATAAGACAGACGACCAATATCTTTGTCTACCGAAATAGGCTATTCCCCATATGAGGTTATTTTGGATTATATTGTTTATATATTGTGGACATGAAAATGAGACTAACCTCAGTTCTCGGCATGAGAGGGTTCGTTTGTGTCTGGCGTGTAGGGCAGTAATTGGTCCGAAGAAAGAAACACCACCATTACGGTGAGTCGAACTTATGGAAACGCGATCTCGTAGCCGCGAGGATTGGCGAGAGGAGAACTTGGGCGTATGCAAATTGGTTGGTGTTCGCTGGGATAAATGTGACGGCGGGAGACCACTCGAGAGAGTTGTGTGTAGCGAACTACGAGGCGGTGTTGGAACATTTGAGTGCAAAGATCTGTGGAGTTGTTGTAGCTGGATTGTAGCTGTCGTTAAGCTGAGGAGTGTTTCCGGAAGTAGGCGGTGCCGGGCCAACCCGTTCCCGTCCTATTGTTTGGACCTAATTTTACGAGACCAACCCGTTCCCTTCCTATTGTTTGGACCGAATATAATCTTGTTTTTCCTCAGCACTGAGCTGTTGATACACAGCGAAAGCCCCGCCAGACAGCCGCAGAGGAATCACATGTTCAATGTTCTTTATGCCAGACAAGAGGCAATGCAATTCCACTTTTTCCACCCAGTCAAGTACCGGGGTTGAGCCATCGAACTCCAGAACCAATTTCAGGTCGAATCTGTCCCCCATTATGCCGAAATAGCTTTAGGTGGTGTTCACATAACGCAGACGGGGGCAGTACAGTTTCAGGAGAGGGCCCCAGTGTGCGCAGCTCTGAGGATCGACCAGCCGGACTTTAGTGTCGAATTTGACCAGCAGCAGAAGACTTGGACCACCTCATGGAGGTGGTCGGAAAACCAGGAACCAGCCAAACTGCGGAACGAGGTAGCCGAGTACCATGTGCCCGATCAAATAAGGCCTGCATACGAAGGGGAGCTCCGTGAATGGATCAAGGATGGCTGGTTGATTCCTTACCCCTATGAGAAACTTGGACCTCCCAAAGGCCTGATCCCGCTGATGGCGGTTGCTCAGCACAACAAAGCAAAGGTGAGGCCAGTGATGGGCTACCGCGAACTAAACGCGCATGTTGATGCGTTCACGGCAGATGCTGACGTTTGTGCCAGCAAGCTACGAGAATGGCGCCAGCAGGGTTCCAATGTGTCCCTGCTGGATCTAAGAAAAGCGTACATGCAGGTCCGGGTCAGCGAGGCGATGTGGCCATTTCAGACGGTGGTGTTTGCCGGCAGGAGGTACTCCCTTACTAGGCTGGGCTTCGGGCTGAACGTGGCACCCCAAATAATGAAGACCATCGTCAACGCTGTGTTGTCACAGGAAGAAACAATAAAAGAGGGGACATCGGCGTACCTTGATGATATATATGTGAACGAAGACGTTGTGTCGTCATCACGCGTGAGGTCCAAACTGGCTGAGTTTGGTCTGACTTGTAAGGACCCAGAACGTTTGGAGGATGGTGCCCGTGTCTTGGGCCTGAACGTTCAACAGGAGCGAGAGACCTTAAATGGGGGCGCGGAACTGCAGTTCCTGAAGTACCCGATGTCTTCACGAGGCGAGCTATATTCTCCTGTGTGGAAGACTTGTGGGGCATCTACCAGTGTGAATGGACTCGTGTGGCAACAGGGACCATAAAAAGAAGGGCAAGCGCAGTCACCAAAGGCTGGGACGATGAAACAACGGACGATCTGTTGGTTCGCATGGTGAAGGAGACCATCGCAAGAGTAAAGCAGGATGACCCCGCCAAAGGAGACTGGTGCGTGCAGGGAGACGAACTGAACGTGTGGGTGGATGCGAGCTCTCTGGCGATTGGTGTGCTGTTGGAGAAGAATGGGGCTGCGATTGAGGACGCCTGCTGGTTGCGACCGGTGAATGACGCTGCTCATATCAACCTGGCAGAGCTCGATGCGGTGATAAAAGGCATCAACCTGGCACTCCAGTGGAAAGTTAAGAAATTACACATACACACTGATTCGTTATGTGTGTACCACTGGATATCGGACACACTGACAGGCAAGGCCAGGGTGCGTACCAAGGCGGCTAGCGAGATGCTGATCAGACGGAGGTTGGAGACCATAAGAAAGCTGGTAACAGAGTACAACCTATCTATGGATGCGGTGCTTGTCACCTCAAACTGCAACCTTGCTGATAGGCTCACTCGTGTGCCACAGAGATGGTATGGCGCCATGAAGAAAGAAAAACTGAGCCAGTACCGTTACTATGTGCTGCCTCTGTTAAGGCGGCGGACAAAATCAAGGAGATACACCACAACAGTTGGCACCCCGGAGTGAGACGGACATGCTATTTTGTACAGTTGACCAATCCGTCAGTGTCCAAAAGTGAAGTCAGAGCGGTGGTGAAGGAATGCCAAACATGCCAGTCAATCGACCCCGCCCCAGCTAAATGGCGGAAGGGTCGGCTGGGGGTAGACACAACTTGGTGCCGACTGGGTATGGACATAACCCATTACGGCAGCCAGCATTTCCTCACACTGATAGATTGCGGACCGACGAGGTTCGCAATCTGGCGCCCATTAGTAAGACAGGACTCATCCAGTGTCATCCGAGAATTGAGTCCATATTTTTATGAAAGGGGGCCGCCTGAAGAGATCCTTACGGATAACGACACGGCCTTCTGCAGCGGGGAGTTTAGACGTTTCGTAGACGAGTGGGGGATCCGGCTCAGACACCGCTGTGCATATGTGTCGAGTGGCAACGGCATAGCAGAGCGGTGCCACCGAAGCGTGAAGAGGATCGCGGCCAGGAAGCAGTGCACGATAGCGGAGGCGGTCTATAGATACAATGCAACACCAAAGGATGCCGTGACTGCTGCAAGCGCACCCGCCAATGCAATCCATCGCTACCAAGTGCGCAACAAGGGCATTGACGCGTGTCTGCCTGATCGGCGGGAAACACGAGGGCCGTATAAGGTAGGGGACACCGTCTGGGTGAAGCCTCCCAATAGCCGGTGCACCACCAGCTTTCAAAGAAAACAAATCACCGGCATCGTCAATGAGCAAGCAGTGCTGGTCGATGGTACTCCACGCCATGTAAAGGATGTCCGGCCCGCCCTAAATACGAACCAGTTGACTAGTAGCAGCAGTGGTGAATCATCCAGCGATGAACTGTGGATCCGACCTATGCCCCCTCGGGCCTGATGGTTTGACTGCGGATCCCGACGCTGATGCTGATAGTTCTGACGCCCCTTCTGAGAGTCCCGATGAAGAAGTCCAGACAATCCCCCTTCGTAGGAGTGCCCGCAACAAACGACCGCGTCCGCAATGCCACATGTGTGATCTTGAGACCAGGGGGGAGTGTGGACATGAAAATGAGACTAACCTCAGTTCTCGGCATAAGAGGGTTCGTTTGTGTCTGGCGTGTAGGGCAGTAATTGGTCCGAAGAAAGAAACACCACCATTACGGTGAGTCGAACTTATGGAAACGCGATCTCGTAGCCGCGAGGATTGGCGAGAGGAGAACTTGGGCGTATGCAAATTGGTTGGTGTTCGCTGGGATAAATGTGACGGCGGGAGACCACTCGAGAGAGTTGTGTGTAGCGAACTACGAGGCGGTGTTGGAACATTTGAGTGCAAAGATCTGTGGAGTTGTTGTAGCTGGATTGTAGCTGTCGTTAAGCTGAGGAGTGTTTCCGGAAGTAGGCGGTGCCAGGCCAACCCGTTCCCGTCCTATTGTTTGGACCTAATTTTACGAGACCAACCCGTTCCTTCCTATTGTTTGGACCGAATTTTGCGACATATATATATATATATATATACATATATATATATATATATATATATATATATACACACACACACACACACACACACACACACACACATATATATATATATATATATATATATATATATATATATATACAAGGTGCGAGTGCTATTTGAAGACATATTGTTTCAAGTTCACTACAGACTCAAATCATTTATAATTGTTGTGGTAGGATCCACCTAATTTGCATAGTGGAGTACCGACCATATAAATATGGTTGGTACCGGGAAGAGAGGGAGGAAACAAGAGATTCACTCTCAGTCGAACTCTGCATTTTGCAGTGAGGGACCCGGACGAGGCTTTGCCGAGAGGCAGGGTTTCGTCCGGGGTGGTAGACAGGCCTTGAACCCGTCTAGGCGGGTTCAGAAAGGCCATATTTTTGGCCGAGCCTACGGGCTCGGAGATACCCACCTTAAACCGGCCTTGTGCCACATTTTATCCTCGTGGTTGGATAGATAAATACAGGAATCAAGAGATTCAACCAGAGACTCTGACCGACTGCGACTCAGTCAACACATTCTCCAGGAACGGTCTTACCAGGAATATACAAAAGACTATATGTAAATATTGTGCACACTTTCTTGTTTCAATACATTTTGTTCTAAGTACATTTTGTGTTGCATTATTATTCCATGCATTAGTCAAGTTTCAACAATGGCGACGAGGTAGAAAGAACTATACGAAAAAAAAAAGAATTGATAATTGATAGCCTTCAACAATTGGGACAAGTCATTGAAGAACCCAGGCTGAAGGAAAAAATTATTAATTACAAGTCCAACATCTAATGGAACGGCGAAGGATTCTGAATTTCTGGATATTGAGAACTCGTTAAAGGACGACTAAGCATAAAGGAACGTTCACTCAAAAAAATTTTGAAAGGTGTCGTAAACGAATAACGGCGATTTAAAACAAAAAAAACGGGCCGATTACAAAAACATGCATGGAATTAAAAGGCGCACAAATACATCGTGTCGACTTTGAAAGGTAACGAACTTTTAAAAAAAAAAATTTTTTTTTTGGTTGCTCAACAATATTTTATAAAGCAAGACATAAAATAAAAAAAGTCGTAAGTTGTTTCGATTTTTCTGGTCAGATTATATTATATCCGTGGATACACAAATTAAAAAAGTATATTCTTTGTTGCATGAACACTATTAGCAAAAGATGGATGAATTATCCAAAGTCATATCTGAATTATTCAAATCCCAGAAGTTGAGTCAGCAACGTCAAAGTGAACAGTTTGCCTTATTAATAAGGGAACAACAGATAGCACAGCAAAAATATCAAGAAAAGCAAGAAGAAAGACAGCAAAAATATCAAGAAAAGCAAGAGGAAAGACTGGGAAAACAGGAAGAAATGCAGATCAAAGTTTTAGAAATTCAAAAGTTAACACTGGAGAAATTAAACAACAATCAGGCAAATGAAGTTAAATTCTTCATATTCTAATAACATCATATTTAATTCGCTGGAAACTTTCAACTATGGGCCAGACGAAGAAAAAAAAACGTTTGAAGCGTACTTTAAACGATATGAAGATATTTTCTACACAGACTGTGAAAACTGGTCGAATTCAAGAAAAGTTAGTCTATTACTAAGAAAGCTAGGTACAGCAGAACATAGCAAATTTGTAGATTTTATTCTACCGAGAAGGACGAATGAATTGGAATTCTCAGAAACAGTGAAATTGCTAAAGGAGTTGTTTGGAGCAAATATGTCGCTTTGGCATAAGCGATGGTTATGCATGAATGTCGCTAAATCCGACGATCAGGATTACTTAACATATGCATCTATAGTGAATAGACATTGTGACAATTTCAGATTGGCAGAGATTACGGTTGAAGAATTCAAGTGTTTAATTTTTGCTCAAGGACTGGTATCCAGTAAGAGTGCCGAAATAAGTTTTGGCTAAACTCGAATCTGAACAAAACCTTACCCTACAAAAGTTAGCAGAGGAGTGTCAGCGGGCCGTAAGTTAATAGAAAGAGTCTCAAAAATTCGAAGAAGCTGGCATTGCTTATATTAAAAAAATAAAAAAACAGTCAAATTGCCCATCAGCAAAAAATTGGAGTAAAAATTCGGCGTATTTTAAAAATAGACAAGAAAAATTAAATGAAAAGAACGAAGAGGAAAAAAGGTTCCACCATATAATTGTAGACGTTGCAACGAAAGACACTGGGAGGTAAATTGCCCATATAGAAATAAGAAATGTTTCGTGTGCCACAAGAATGGACACAAAGGATTGTGTTGTAAAACGAAAAAAGTCAATACCGAATTAGACAAACAAATTCAAATATAAAATCAGATAGAGATTTGAGGAAATATGTGACGACTGAAATATTTAAAAAGAATATCAAATTTCAACTCGATTCGGGTTCAGATTTAACAATAATGAACTATAAAACATGGAAAATTTTAAAAAGGCCTACAATAATGAAGTCAACGAAATGCGCTCGAACGGTAACTGGAAAGGAAATTAACTTCGAAGGCGAGGTTGTACTTCCCATGAAATTTAACGGGATAGTTAAAAAAATAAAAGTTTTCATTCTGAAAAATGGAGAAAACTTGATGGGTACAGATTTTATTGAAACATTCGAATTGTGGGATAAACCGTTAAACTCATTCTGCAGAAAAGTAGAAAGTAATACGCAAACAAGACAGGACATTAAAGAGGAATTAAAGAAAAAGTTTCCGGAAACCTTCACACCTGGTCTTGGAAGATGTAACAAGTTTGAAGCTAAATTTGAATTAAAGGAAAATACTATGCCAATTTTTAAAAAAAAAACGTAACGTGCCTTTCGCAAGTGTAGAAAAATTAACGAAGAACTTGATAGGTTGGAAAAAATGGGAATTATTTCGAAAGTAGAATCTAATTCATGGGCTGCGCCGATTGTGTGCATAAAAAAGAAATCAAACCAAGTCAGAGTCTGCGTTGATTTTTTCGACAGGGTTGAACTCGGTAATTAAGGACTACCATTACCCGTTACCGAGTCCGGAGGAGATTTTTAACAAGCTAAATGGTGGAGTTATATTTTCAAAAATCGACTTATCAGATGCCTATCTCCAAATTCCCGTCGAAGAGGAATGTTCAAGTTACTAGGGATAAACACGCATAGAGGGTTATTCAAGTACAACAGGCTTCTTTTGGTATTAAAGTGGCACCAGCCATTTTTTCAACAAGCTATGGACGTCATGTTGAATGATTTAGACTTTGCGTGCGCCTACTTAGACGACATCATAGTAAGGAGCGAAACCGTCGACGAACATCGAGAGCATCTCAATCAAGTATTTAAAAAGATTCAGGACTTTGGTTTTAAAGTCAAAGAGTCAAAGTGCGAATTTGGTTTGGAGGAAATTAAGTATTTAGGTCACATAATCAACAAAAAGGGCAGATTTCCAGATCCGGAAAGGTCCATTGCGATTAGAGACATGCCGACGCCCACTAATGTGGCGATGCTACAGAGTTTTCTGGGGCTCGCAAAGTATTATCAAGCGTTCATTAAAGGAATGTACAATCTAAGAGCTCCGTTGAAGGAACTGCTAAAAAAAGACAAGGCATGGGAATGGACGGTAGAATGTCAGAAAGCCTTTGATGAAATAAAGAGAATGCTTACGTCCGACCTCTTTTTAACCCATTACAATCCAAAACTGGATATTGTAGTGGCAAGTGACGCCAGTTCATACGGGATAGGAGCGTGTATTCAACACATAATTCCAGATGGTTCTAGAAAACCATTTGCACATGCTTCGAGAACTTTACTCACAAATCGAAAAAGAGGCGTTGAGTATCATTTTTGCCATAACAAAATTTCACAGATACATACACGGCAGACGTTTTATGCTTGAAACGGATCATAAACCACTGATCACTATTTTTGGTTCAAAGAAAGGGTTACCCGTTTATACGGCAAATCGTCTGTTGAGATGGGGAACCATTCTTCTCAATTATGATTTTCACATAAAGCACCTATCATCCAAAAATATAATTCATGCGGATAGTTTATCAAGACTCGTACCGAGTCAAGAAGAAAGGTTCGAAGAATCAATTATTGCAAATATCAGAGCAGATTATGAGGTGAAAAGCATGGTAAACAACATTGTAAGAGAGCTACCGGTTACGCTAAATGAAATTAAAAAAGAAGCTGAAAGCGATGATTTCATTTTAGAAATAAAAAGCAAAATGGAAGCAAATGACCAAAAAGTGCAGGAGACTTAATCAATAGGTGAAGGAGTTTTATTATATGGTGAGAGAGTAGTAGTACCAAAAAAGTTGCAGAAAAGAATACTACGGGACTTTCATATGGGTCACCCGGGGGTTAATAGAACAAAAAGCTTAATGCGAAGCTTTGTATATTGGAAAGAAATGGATGTGGATATCGCAAACATGGTTCATCGATGTAAAGGGTGTGCGTTAGCAGCTAAGGCACCACCACCTATAGTACACAAACCATGGCCCAAGACGGATCATCCGTGGACAAGATTACACATTGATTTCGCTGGTCCAGTAGAAGATTATTACTACTTAATAGTGGTAGATAGTTTTACAAAATGGCCGGAAGTACTACGCTGCAAAAAGCCTACGTCTAATACCACAACAACTTTCTTGCATGAACTATTTGCACGGTTCGGTGTGCCAGAGTGTATTGTGAGTGACAATGGTACACAATTCACTTCTGAAGAATTTAAGGAATTTTGTGAGTTATATCAAATTAACAACATAACGACGCCGCCGTATCATCCGAGGTCCAATGGACTCGCAGAAAGACTTGTCGATACTTTAAAGCGCGCTCTGAAGAAAGC